CAAAGGCCACAGTTGGAAGCATGTAGGAATATGTACGAGCGTCACATTTGTTTTTCGAATTGAAACTCTGGGTCACTCGTTTAAGTCCTGTGGGTACAAAAGTAAAAGCAACTCATCATACAAACATCCTGGAGCTGTTCGTCAAAATATCAACGAGAAAAGATTACCAGTAAGAGTCTTACCGAGCGCCCTGATCTGTGGTGGCAAATGATTATTGATTTTTTCGATTACGTCCTCGATCAACCGCAGCTTCAGAGAAACCACTTGACCAGCAGCAGAAACACTCTAAATAAATGCAAATGAAACGTGTCATATCGTAAATATTTGAAACACGTTCAAATTTAATTCATCAGTGGAATGTTATAATTCAAACTATCAATGGATACAGACCATCTGAAACAAGTTTTGCTCTTAAACTGGCCAGGAGTTTGTTAGTGCAAGCAAAATAAAATTTTGCAAATGCTGACACTGGAGTATGTTATTTCCTTTTGATTATTTAAAATTGTTTTGTTGTTTTTCCAAACTTCTAACATGCATGAACACATACTTTATCTGTCCTGGCACATCTTTGGAAAGACATCTTCTTCATCTCATCACCATGATCTTCAGGGATGCATCCAGATTTTATAAGAGCAGTGACCAGATCATCTTCAATGGTGTTAAACTGGGAGTTTCGGTTATTCCTCTAAAAAAAAAAAAAAATGGAAGCCACTTATGAATATATTTAACTATAGAAGGAGCACGGTGAATGATCAACACACCTGCATGCCATAATACCCCTTCCCTGAGTATGCCAGAAGCAGAGCCACTTTCTTTTTAGGATATCTTTTGCCATCTTCAGCGTGTTCTTCGTCTGTTCTTAGTCTTTTGGTGGCTCTCTCAACAGAATCCTCATCTTTATTCTCCTCATGTGGCCGTTTTAGCAGCTGATCAGTTGTGGATTCAGTACTCATAGTGGCCAAGACTTTAAAAAGGCAACCTGTGAAGTAAAAACAAAATGGATTTATGTCCTCATATGCCTGCTCTGATTGAGTCTGAAGCCTGGTAAACATTCATCTCACCCCAAAATTCAACGAAAGTGAGCATGAAAATGACATGAAGAGATTGATAAAATGAATAAGTAAAATGAATAAGTTCATTATGTTGGGTAGACTTACCGTTTTTCTTTGGCTTTTGTCAATACTTATCTAAACTCGGTTGCAGTCGGACTTTAAACATGTCATGCAAAACAGCAATTTAACAAAAGTATCTGCAGCTAGGAGATGCTAGCTGATCCTTTAGCTAATAAGTTTCATACGAATTGTCTCAGGATAATTTTCTGAGGCAAAGCTTTTAAACAGCTACCAATAATTATAATTGTAAAAGTTTGCGAACAAATATGGAAAATAAAATAAAATAAAAAAGACCACAGTTAAAGCGAAAATTGATAAACGCTATCACACATGTTACAACCAACTTTGACCTCTCACGATAATCTCGCGAGGCTTGACCAGTTCACGTTTATTCATGACGTCACGGGCTCTGTATTTTTCTCATGTCATTTAACTAGGAATAATAGTAATATCTTTTTATATTTGTTTACGCTAATACAGACTATCTCTGGCTTCGAATATGTTTTTATAGTATTTTTTGATGAAATATTACTATTTCAATACATGATTTATTAGATGGTCAATTTTTAATGTCTTCAGAAAATTCAAATTGCATATTTCCATTAGTGTGATTCTGTGTTTTGCAAGTCACACAGGCTAAGAATTTTTAAATATCTTTACATCAAGCATAAAAATATTATTATTATTATTTTACTAAAGATTTTAATATTATTTGTAAACCGTACATTATCATTGAACTGCATTATACTTCCTGTTATAAAGTTATTTTATGTTATTGGTGATTTACAGTAAACTGATCACAGTTTCATTGAGTTATTGATTATGACGAGGTGAATAAAAAATCCTGAAGATTTTACCTGTAAACAAAAGTTTTGACGTGATTTAAAATAAATAATCCATTCAAACAAATTAAAACAATATTATTATTTTTTTGTCAATTTGTGCTTTCAAAATCATTTTGGTCCAATATGGTAAAATTTTTATTGAAAATGAGTTGAGTATTAGTTTAGGGGAGGATGCCGGTCAGACCTGGCAGACCCAAACATATTGTGAGCTGGGAATGTCTGGCAGAGTCTCCTGTGAGACGGAGTTTTAACTCCCACCTCCGGGAGAACATTGAACATGTTCCGGGGGAGGTGGGGGACATAGAGTCTGAGTGGACCGTGTTTTGTGCCTCTATTGTCGAGGCGGCTTACCGGAGCTGCAGCCGCAAGGTTGTCGATGCCTGTCGCGGCAGCAATCCTCGAACCCGATGGTGGACACCGTTGGTGAGGGATGCTGTCAGGCTGAAGAAGGAGTCCTATTGGGTCTTTTTGGTCTGTGGGACCCCGGAAGCAGCTGATGGGTACCGGCAGTCCAAGTGACATGCGGCTCGGGTGGTCGCTGAGGCAAAATCTCTGGCATGGGAGGAATTCGGAGAGGCCATGGAGAATGACTTACGCACGGCTTTGAGGCGATTCTGGTCCACCATCCGGCGTCTCAGGGGGGAAAGCGGTACGCCACCAACACTGTTTATAGTGGGAGTGGTGTGCTGCTGACCTCAACTCGGGATGTTGTGGGTCGGTGGGCAGAATACTTTGAAGACCTCCTCAATCCCACCGGCACGTCTTCCACTGAGGAAGCGGAGCCTGGGGACTCTGGGTCGGGCCCTCCAATCTCTGGTGCTGATGTCACCGAGGTGGTTAAAAAGCTCCTCGGTGGCAGGGCCCCAGGGGTGGATGAGATTTGCCCGGAGTTCCTTAAGGCTCTGGATGTTGTAGGGTTGTGTTGGCTTACGTGACTCTGCAATATTGCGTGGACATCGGGGGAAGTTCCCCTGGATTGGCAGACCGGGGTGGTGGTCCCCCTATTCAAACAGGGGGACCGTAGAGTGTGTTCCAACTACAGGGCAATCACGCTCTTAAGCCTCCCTGGTAAGGTCTATTCGGGGGTTCTGGAGAGGAGGGTCCGTCGGATAGTCAAACCTCGGATTCAGGAGGAGCAGTGCAGTTTTCGTCCTGGCCGTGGAACACTGGACCAGCTCTACACTCTCAGCAGGGTCCTGGAGGGTGCGTGGGAGTTTGCCCAACTGGTCTACATGTGCTTTGTGGACTTGGAGAAGGTGTTCGACCGCGTCCCTCAGGGAACCCTGTGGGGGGTACTCTGTGAGTATGGAGTACTGGGCCCTTTGATACGGGCTGTTATGTCCTTGTATGACCGGTGTCAGAGCCAAGTCTGCATTGCCAGCCTTAAGTTGGGCTTGTTCCCGGTGAAAGTTGGACTTCGCCAAGGTTGCCCTTTGTCACCAATTCTGTTCATAACTTTTATGGACAGAATTTCTAGGCGCAGCCAATGTGTTGAGGGGATCTGTTTTGGTGGCCTTAGGATTGCATCTCTGCTTTTTGCAGATGATGTGGTCTTATTGGCTTCATCAGATCGTGATCTACAGCTTTTGCTGGAGCGGTTCACAGCCGAATGCGACGCGGCCGGGATGAAGATCAGTTCCTCCAAATCCGAGGCCATGGTCTTGAGCCGGAAAAGGGTAGAGTGCCCTCTCCGGGTCAGGGAGGAGGTCCTACCCTCATCTATGGTCACAAGCTTTGGGTTGTGACCGAAAGAATGAGATCTCGGATACAAGCGGCCGAAATGAGTTTTCTCTGCAGGGTGTCTGGGCTCTCCCTTAGAGATAGGGTGAGAAGCTCGATCATCCGGGAGGGACTCAGAGTAGAGCCGCTGCTTCTCCACGTTGAGAGGAGCCATTTGAGGTGGCTTGGGCATCTGTTTAGGATGCCTCCTGGACGCCTCCCTGGTGGGGTGTTCCGGACACGTCCCACCAGGAGGAGGCCCAGAGGAAGACCCAGGACAAAAATAAAATGTTAAATGTAAAATAGCAAAGACTTTTAAGTTATCATCATCAACCATGCATAACATCATCAAAAGATTCAGAGAATCTGGAACAATCGCTAAT